TGTGTCAATAAATGCTTATATATTTCCCCCAATAAGATATACTCTGATTCTCAATCAAGTTTCCTCAGTAATATATTCACTTGGGGAATGAAGAGTGGATGGAGAGGTAAATTTTTTTTTAAATTTAGCTCAAAGGCACTCCTTCTTATAAATCTCTCAAATTAACTTTTGTTTTCTTTTCTCTCATACAACACACACACACATTACATGTATAAATCTTTCAATGTATGTGGAACCACTTTTTATAAATTTTTGTTGGGATCACTTAACAATTATTACAGTGAGAGATGTGAACCCCTTTGAGTCTAACATTTCTCAGGAGTTAGTGGTCAGTCCATGAATATACATTGTAAGGCCAATTTACCCACATCTTGGAGTCCAAACTCTATTGTTTTTTCTTTATTAAAGCAGTGAAGTATCAGTTCTTTCAATACTGTAATGAATCAGGCAACACTGGAAATTAAGTCCCAAAGCAGTGCACCTTGAGCAGATATTAAGACATTCCACGAGTCATAACCATATATTTTCAACAATTTTATACTCAATCTACTCTTTCAGCAACCCTTTGGGAAATATCAGGAGATAATTTATTGGGTAAGTGCACGGATCTTGTAAAAGACATTGGACTGTTTCACAGTTGATCCCCTAAGACAGTCTAGTAAAGGAAACAGGAAATTTAACAAATAAATAGGATAAGCTTGAGAGTAATCTAGGCGTTGGCACTGTTGGATAGCTTCATTTAAGAGCTGCAGTTCTTTCTCTCTTTACCAAGGGCCATGAGTTACTTTGTTTAAAGTCTCCCCATTAAGTAAGACTGTTGCTGAAGAGCAGCTCAGAAGTACAAAATATCACGAAATCTTTTCAAGTGGCGATTTAAAGGGGCGCGTCTGTGTCCTATCCCTATCTTAAATAGATGGAGCAAACCGTTAGTTCACCGCACAGCTTGTCTCCTACATCCCACCGCTTCACTCCGTTCCTGGGCTTCTGGAAGGCCAGGGGAAGCTTTCCTGGACTGAATAACAAACAGCAAGGGTCCGCCTCTTCCTGGGAGCTGTCTCGCATCCACCTGACCCAGGGATTTTAGGATATAAAGGCAAATTCTCGGTGCTTCGCGTCTTCTCTGCGCATCTCTCTCCGATGGCGCTGTCTCGGGATTTCCAGTGCACACGGTTTTGCAGGTGACTTTGCTGTGTCTCTTGAACAAGTGGGGCGTGGGGCGCCTACTGATACTCGCAGGCGACCGTCACCATCGTCCTCCGGCCCTCGGTCTTCAGGTGTTCCCTGCTAGCCCCCGTGCCTGAAGCGCAAGCGGGGGCTGACACGGAGCTCCCTCCAGGTCAGTGCGGCTCAGTCTCCCCGGCCTCCCGCCCCCATCAGGGGCTTCGGGGGAGACCACCTTTCTCCAGTGAACGACACCTGGGAACTGAACATTCCGCTCCAACATCTCACTGAAACTCTTCTTGCCCCACCTTTCTGCGTTTGGCTTCGCCACAAGTGTTGAGAGTGGGATCCAGGAAAAAAAGAAAAGAAACATAATAGATTTCCGGCCTGCCCCGCCTTCCCCGTGAGGAATCCAGTAGCCAGGGAAGGCTCTCAGGCTCCCCGCCTCCCATCCGCGTCGGGGCCTTCGTGGAACTAAGTTAGGGACTGGGAACTGGGGAGAAAAGGAAAGTCACTGTGGGCACCTGGTGCACCGGCCGACAGTCTCCCGCGCACGGGCACCGGTCAGTCTCCAGCGGCCGCGCGCAGGTACCGGGCGAGGTCGCGGTGGCCGCGCTCCTCCGCCAGGTCCACGGGCAGGCGCCCCCAGGCG